AGAGCAAAGAAATGTAATATAATGGAGTCTTCTAAATGTCATTCGTTTTGGAATGGTCGTTTTCCCGTGTTTGTGCTGTAGTGAAGTGCACGTGACCGCAAGATGTGCACGATCTGATATCCTCGTGTTGGTGTTGTTCCCACATCATCATAATTAAGGTTGCTCCAGATTCAACATTGCAAGTGACCAATCGCATTGTGGGACAACTGGGAGTTCTTGATGTTGATGTAGTGCACCACCTGTTAAATTGCTGCTCAGTATTCTGATGCTTTGCAAAAACTGCTTTTATATGGCTACATAATCCTTAAAATCCCAAGTGCTTTATTTTGGGAAATAAATGCCTGCGATCTCCCAAAATAAAATCTTATATGCTGTTTTGCAACAACGGCAAGCTGCACAAGATGTTTATATTTTCAGTCACCATTCTACTTTGAGTAAATTTAAAGTTGCAGTTATTAGACGTTGGGAAGCAGAAGAAACAATATAAGAATACTATGTTGGGAAAGAAGACAACAGCTGTTGTATCATGCCACTCTAACCCGTGCAGTCAAACTGAGTAGCTGCAATAACGGAGACAGGAAGGAGATTGGCTTGAGGTCCAGTTATTGTATGAGTAACCTTGACGGTGGGACTGTGGGAAAACATCCCGAGTATGACAATTTAGGACAAAATATCCAAACATAACGTTGTTCAGCCAGTCCATAAAACCTGAACCTAACATAATGAAAGGAAACAAGGAAGGCAAGAATGAGCTTAATGTTGTTATTATTATTATTATTAGTAGTAGTAGTAGTAGTAGTAGTAGTGTTGTGCATACGCCTTTTGCACGTCCGTCTTGTGTTCACACCAGCTTCACGGTTTGTTTATAAATGCCACTGATATTCTCACAAGGGAGGTGTGGCTAACGTAGTATTTAAACTCATCCCTTTGTCAGTTTGGATCTCACTTTCAGTGGGTAATCAGAGTTCAAAATGTTCGTGCTTTGGGCGCTACGATTTGGTAAGTTATTCGACATCATTTGCCGAAATCGGTTTTGATGCGTTATATGGTTTTTGTGCGCGCGTGTGTGTTTTAATTGAATAATAATGCTTTGTGCTAATTTTTCAGCTTGGGTGATTTTTGCTTGTGGTAAGTAGGGTTAAGGTTTATTTATTTGCACAACACTGCATGATACATATTTGATATTATTATTTTTTATTATTTTTTTCTTGATTTCTTTATTGTTCAAAAAAGAACATTATAAATGTTCTTTTTTGAACAACCAGAAACGACCAGAAACAGACGGTTATTCCTTAGGTGCGAAAACGTGTTATGTATGTCGATTCGGCAATTTACAGTAGTGCTGGTGAAAAATCACAGCTGGTAGCGTGACTCGTGGGCGGTAGACGGATTCTCATTTCCCAGATCACCAGGACTTTTGTTTTACCATTATAGGCTCCATTGTCGCAGTAGTCCATGTGTAACTCTCATCATGTAGAAAAAAATGTTGACAAATGAACTTGTTTTAGCCTTAACTAAGAAGCGACTCACGTGACTGTGCTTGTTGACAAACTCTGCAGGAGGAACCAGCGCAGCCTCCAGAAACAACTGTTATCGGTGAGTCCTCCTCACTCACTGTCTGTACTATTTGTGTTTTGTAGTTCAATCACTTGACCCATCTTTACAGGTTAAGCTCTGCATTAGAAGCCATGTTTCACACAAGAACAGACGGGGAGACGTAATGGTTATGTAGACTGTAGCAATGCGGTGTTTTAAAGATGACACTATTATGATTTACATATCAGAATGTACCGAAAATTGAGAGGAAAAAACTGGAAGGGCACAATCCATTTTGTTTTTAAACTTAAATCATGGGACCAGAACTGATCCTGTGTCTGTCACAAAAGTGCAAACATTGCGGAAGCTATAAGCGCATGAACCAAACAACCCCACAAAAACTTTAAATGTAAGCACAGAACGTCGGAAGCATCTTCTAGAGTCTCACTTTGAAATATTATATGTTCTACAGCAAAAGCTGTATTTACTGTTATTTATGTTATCTTTTATTTTTAGAAAAGACTGTAATGGAACATGGTATGACATCCAAGAGGCTACTTGCTGTGAAAACAAACTTTACCCTGGTGCAAGTCTCTCTTGTTGTGGAAATGAGCCTTACAATCCGGAAACAGCCACTTGTTGTAAAGTACAGCATGAGCACGACATCATAGGTAATGCATTTGTAAACTAAAATTGTAGTGGTGACATTAACTGTGCAAGAAACTGAATGTGATGGAAAAAATAATGCTTTAATAGAAATTACAGACAGGCAATAACATTTTACACATTACTGTTTACATGAACAGACATCACATGTTCAGCAGTTACACTGTGGTTCTGGTATCCGTGTCTTGTTTTTACAGCCAGTGTTGACCAGGGTCTGAATGAAAAGGTATCCAAGTGCTGTGACCTGAAGGCGTACAACCCAGTCAATGAAATGTGTTGTCAGTCAACCATCACAGCAAAACCTGGACCAATGGCTGAATGTTGTGGTAAAGGTGAGCAATGCTGGACAAACTAGTGAAAAACATCACACCAAACATACAGCATACAATTACAACATAACATTACATCTAAACCATCACAAGATCTCAGGTGTCTGAGAATTTTTAACAATCTGATTTGCTTGAGTGTTAAACACTGAGGCTTAGCTAGTCAGGCTCTATTCCTCTTCAGTGCTTTTGAAGAAGCTCCTTATTTCAGTAAGGTGTAACAATTTTATTTTAGATTCCTCAAAGCAGCTTATTTTGTTTTTTTGCTTTATTTTTGTGAATTCTTGAGTTTGTTTTTTTCATTGTTTTTCTAGTGTTTAAATTTTGGATTCTCTTTTAATTTTAATGTTTGTTCTAAACATTTTGAGTTGTGTCTGAGTTGTAGCCACTGTTTAGCATTTATGTAGTTTTAGATTTCTCTCTACATTTCATTTTTCTTATACTGAGTTTGATTTCTTGTATTGTGTTTCTTTGACGTACTTTGATGTACTTTCTTTAAGTACAACACATCATCCAATAGTACGATGTGTTGTACTTAGGTAGTTAGTTGCCTTTTCTCATATGTCAAAGGCAAATGTAAAAAAAAGAATTATATGACGTGCTTGAAACTTTCAGTTGGGTTGTGCCAAAGTAAATAGTGTTATATACAGTAAACAGTCCTTTACAGCTACTGGTACAATCCAATCCAAGAACCACTTAACTAAAGAGAAACAAAGGAAACAACAAAACTGAGATTTTTGATTCCAGATGACATGTCTTTGTGAGAAACAAAGATGTTTAACAAATGGTGATGCTGAGTACAAGCATCATTGTTTTCAGTAGGACTATCAGCAAAATAAAGACTAAGTTATGGTTGAGTATGATTTGTTTTAAAAAAACATGTTTTTCCCCACAGAGGTTTTTGATAAGGATAAGCAGTTGTGTTGTGGTCCAACTGATAACAGGATAATTTTGGTGAGGAATTCTAGCCACCACCGGTGCTGTGGCCACAACCAGTATGACACCAAGACTCAGTGCTGCTGTACAAATAAGGAAAACATTCTGGAGATACAACCTAAAGATTCAGACTGCTGCATGGAGGACTCTCCAGCAGGTAAGCTCACGTAACTGCACATCACAACTATTTACATTTCAACTCTTAACACTGCAAACCACAACACAATAAAATATAGATTCAAATATGAAAAGCAAAACAAAAAAGTGAACACACAGACCATTTAGAAATACTAAGTGCCTCAACTTTGAGAAGCTGATCCATTTTTTTCTGTCAGTAATTATCTGTCCTGTTTTGGAGAAGATCCTCTCAGAGGGGACTGTTGCCATAATGCACAGTCTCTGTGTCCAGATTTTGCGTGTTTTCTTGGTGTAACTCATTTTCTTTACTATACTTTTCAAATTTGATGATGTTGACTCTTGTTGTTGCCCACACCTCTCTTTTCTCTCTCCATCCTGCTCTGTTTGTGTGCTACTGCTGCTGCAAGTGCTGCAAACACAAGGCAGAAACACACATTGACAAATCACGTGTTGTGTGAAGCGAAAAAAAGTGAGAGAGGGTGAAAGAAAAAAATAGAAACATGGCTACCAATAGCTTTCCTTTCTTTAAAAAAAACTATAATTGATTGAGTGATAACACTTTAATTATTCAGAGGGGAATTGTTTTACATGCTCTGGCGCCATCATGTGCACCCCTTCTGACCATACATAGAGTACACAAACATAACATTGGGAAGACAGGTCAGAGAGGTATGAAAAAAACACAATACATGAGAAAAGAGGAGGAGAAAAAAGAACTTCTCCCAGACTGAGCTCCAAGGGGAGAGCAGTTTAAGAACAGAAAAAAACACCTCAGCACAGAAAGCACCTAAATCTTCAGGTCTTACGACATAAAATCACATGACTTGCAAGGGGGGTGGCGAGGTTAGGTATTAACCCATGTAGACAGTACGGTGGGAGTAGAGTACTCTCTCAAGTAGAACACAAGTTCTACTTGAGAGAGAGTGTCATTTGACCTGGTTAAGCAAAAGTCAACAGTGTCCAGCTGATGCATGTGACCTTAAAGGATAGGAGCAGATAGTCAAAACACAGTTATGTCATCAATGAAGATTGTTGTTCTGGCCAGTCTTGGCCTTGGGTAGCCACATGTAGGAGATAGTTGTTTGGGTTTGAACGAACAACTGCATTCCAATTTCCAAGTTGGTCTGAATGTCCATCACTGGTCATCAGGTCTCTCAATTCTCATTGCAGAGCCATGAGCTTCTCCAAGATCTTATCAATATTGCGTTCAATAAAGACAGTCTGAGTACTCACTCATCTTCAATCGTGTCGGCCAGCCTTGTGGGGTTTTGAACAACTGTAACTACTTTCTTTGTTCTATGATAAAACGGGTCCAAGCCAGCTCCAATCAGCCAGAACTCTGTTATCATTGTTCCAAACACTAGACAAGGACATAGAAGCCAAACAGGAAAGATAAGGGAGGGAGAGGGAAATAGGATGCATCCGCCTCCGCCAAGAGCAGTAATAGATGATTATCAATATGACAACAGCTAACAACAATGTTGCTTATGCTAAACAGTAACAAATTTTGTATTTTGTATTTTCCTTTGATCATCTCTTATCTTCACGAAGTCCAAAACTAATCATACAGTAGTTAAAGGAAGGTTGTGTAAATTACTGTAGTTGATGCCTGTATGTTGACTTTCTCTTTGTCTCTGCAGTTCTTCCATGTGGAAATATAACCTTCAACAAACATACGCAACTATGCTGTCAGTTAAATGTTGTTCACAAATCTCCACAGAAGTACAAATGTTGTGATAAAAGTAAGTCGAGCTAATTATAGAATAAGCATTCCACTTAAACATAAGAACAGTATTTTAAAGCTATACTGCATGATAAAAAGGTAAACCCAGTGGTAGCATAACATGAACTTAGCTACGATTACGATACACTGTATGTGTTTCAGTTTTTAAGATCTGGATCTTTTCCACAGGGGCATATGATGTGGAAAAGGAGCTGTGTTGTGGCCCAAGTAATAACAAAATAATTCTAATGAGGAATTCCGGTTATCACCAGTGCTGTGGTCACAACCATTATGACACTGACACTCAGTGTTGCTTTTTGAATAAGGAGGGTGTTCTTGAGATTCAACCTAAGGATCCATCTGGCTGTAAGTCAGCTTTATGTGAAAGTCAGAACTTGCCAAAGACAAATTCATACAGATATTAGAAATCTATTTTTAAAAAGTGTTTACTTTTAGTAGTTTAAAAGTTTTATACCTAACTTTATATTTAATTTAATTGCAATTCAAAATCTTGTAAAAAAAAAACAATGTCAAGATTACACTTTGTTCCATCTGGCACCATTTTATAAACCAAATCCTATTATTTGTTTTATTTATTTGTTTATTTTCAGTCAAAAGCCTTTATCCTTTATGTCCACAGGTGTGAGAGAAAAGGTAAGAAATACACTCCAATAAATGTAGGGTTCTTATTCTCTTTGTATTCATTCATACAGTGATCAGTAAAGAAACATTTTGGTCCTTTATTTGCCAATATGGGTGCATTAAAACATCCTTTTTATTTCTTTTTTTTTTGTCAGACAGTTGAGCGCCAGTCTAAGTGGTAAGTTGACTAAAGGTTTTACTCTTAATATAACTTTATTCAAACATCACAACATTCAGATTTTGTGGAAGTCAAAGTCCAAAGTGGTCCCAGTGGTAGGAACATTAGGAACTGTAATCCAAATACTGGAAGACTGGCTCAAGCAGATTCCAGGGACAACATCTGCAGTGTCATTGTTGTGCTGTATGAAAAGCAGAGGCAGGACACAATGCAGGACTCAGAGACAAAGGAATTAACTGAAAGAGGCAGCTTAATTCACTGTAACAAAATGCTTAAAAGTACAAGTATACAAAACTCAAAAACCAAGAGCTGGGGACTAAAACTAGGAAACTAGGAACTCAAAACTAGGGATAAAAAAGGGAACACGCAGGCAAATGCAGCAAACTGGGACGACGCAGCAATGAGCAGAGGGAGACTGAGGACTTAAATGCACAGGATAACAAGGGGATGGGCAACAGGTGGAAAAAATCAGACATAACAAGACAAGGGAATTAAAACTGAACACAATGCACTTGAGACATGGACTATCAAAATAAAACAGGAAACACAACACAGAGACAGAGAGCGAGGACAGTGAGAGAGCAAGGGAGACATGACAGGCCGGGGAGAACACAGACGAGACCAAGACAACGAGAACATGAACTAAATAACTAACTAAAACTAAATAAACAAGTAACTAATAACTATCAATACAAATGATTAAACCAGGAAGCACAAGGAAACTAAAAATGCCAAATAAAGACAAAAAAACACATAGATCATCACAATAATAACAAGTTGATGTGGACTGTTTGTGTTTATTTTTGTCTTTGTACATCCACAGCACTGAACCAAAAACACATCTCTGTGGGTCGTTATGTTACAATCCAAAGGAACGTCGCTGCTGTGAGAGAAATCAAGAATCTCACTGGTTCTGTGCCTCAGGTAACACCGTCTCCATATTTGTTTGTTTTGATATGTGGTTGCCTTATCTGTTAGTTACCATCTCATGGGACTTACCCATCACTCTGTGATGCCAGCACGGCTTCCAGCAAAGCAGTTAGCTCAGTTTTTTATCTTGTGTGAAAGAGAAAAACGTCTTTCAAAGAAACACTTTCAAACTAAATATCTTAAATCTGAAGTAACACTATGGCAGAATAGCACATTAAGAAACTGAGATATTGTACTTATTTTTGATGGATTTTTGTTAATTTGGAAGTCAAAAATCTCAAATGCAATTCCTTCTGGGAAAGGAACATCTGTACCTCTGTACTTCTTTTTTTGTATTTTTGATTTTGAAGTGCACTTTGTATTTTCTGAATGTTCTCAAGTCAATTCAGGTCTCTTCTACAGAGTCATGCTGTTATAAGCAATCATTTTACATCGTCTAACTTGCAGAACTGGCAGAAGTTCCTCCAAATCCTCTATTTATGTCAAAGCATTAATAGGAATTTCATGGTACAAGTAACTCAAGTCCTGCGCACTACTGAGAAGTGAATGGCTTGATGTTTTTTTGTTGGCATGTAGTAAAATGGGTGCATTTAAGCTGTCATCTTAAGAAAAAGACTGCTATAAGCCTGCCAAGAAAGTGTCCTTCCTACCAAAATTTACCAGAGAAACATTTTTTAGGAATTACCTTTACACAAAAAGAGCAGAAACAAGTTGTGTTAAATTCTAATCTTAGGTGTGTGAATACGTTTTTTGTTTACTATACTTTCTTGGGAATAAAGAACCAAAAGGACAAAAGCTGTTTTTGTCTGACTTTAGTCCCCCAGGTTGCTGAAATACATAAAACAGTGAACAATGTTTCTTCATACAAACTGAAAGATTTAGTACTTCGCAAAATTATGTCTTATATTTAATGACAGTGAAGAATGACACGTCATACTTGCAGACAGTGAAGTACTATCTGTCTTCCATCAGGAAAGATGGAATGATGCGTAAAAGAAAAGCAATGCAATGACGTCTGAAAAAGGTTGTAAACAAGCCTGCATGTATTGAAGTGTTTTTATTTTCACTCTATGGATACAGACATCTAAATGTTTAGTAGCAACCTGTTTTAATGTAACATGTCTGTAGTGCCAATGTTGTCATTATGTGCAGCATTAGTGTAGGGCTGAAATGTGTCATAAAAAATCTCCTGGCATTTTGGCCCACATGACAACCGTAACTTATCACATATCTTCTTCCATCATCCTATAAATCATTAAGCTTTGTAATAAAAAATAAATAAATAAAATAAAAATGGTAGAGCAGTGTTTCCCAATCTTTTGGAACCATGGCACATATTTCACATTAGTAAAATCACACAGCACACCACCATTGATCATTTTTCCCGGCACACCATGCGTAGCAGAATTGGCTCGGTTTGTCCCCAGTATACCTTTTTTGCTTTCTTCAGACCACTACTCATGCTAGGGCATTCATCTGGGTCAGAATTTTCTCCAGGAACCAGGCCAGATTGACTACTTATTCTTTTCAATATTTATTGCTTTTACACACTGAGTTGTCTCACTCAGCATGATTATTATGTAATTTCTCCTTGGTCTTCTTCTGTTTTACTGGCAGTTGGCAACCTATTTAATTAGAGGAGGTAGTTGTACTGCCCTCTAGTGGTAGATAATGTAATTGTTCTGCCCATTACTCGCACCGTTCGCTTACAGTACTAATCAGGTGGAACCACATAATCTTCCACGGTACACCTGATCATTTCTCACAGCACACCTATGAGCAGCAGGTGGGTAGGAAACACTAGTTTAGCTTGTGTTTGAGCATTTTGTCCTTGGGATTAACCAGAGTGTCTGGCTGCGTTCGAAGTGCGCTAAGATGTCATGCTGGTAGGGCAAACTCCTTACGACACCAACTGACTGTAACCTACAATCCAGTTTTGAGATTCCTTCCCAGGGGCCTTGACGCCCACTCACATCTTCACTCAGTCAGTTAACTTCAATAGGTCACATGATGGTTTCACCTGAAACCTCTGCTAATAATGACTCACATCCTTTTTCACAACTTGGCCCATTTGATGAGGTATGGGATCAATAGTGGGTCAATGACTCTCTTAAGGGACAAATCCCACTACGGTTTAAGTATTTGGGACTGTCAGTCTCCACCATTTGTTTTGGACTGAAGAAGCTTGTCAGATACGAGGTGAAGCAAAGAAGTCTGGTCATTTTGTTTTTCCAGGCTCCTTAGATTACCAGGATGACCTGGATGATTGAGACCTACGCTGACATTCTTTGATAAATCCTTTAAAAACTATAATGAGATTTGAGAATAATTAAAGAATAATCATTAGAGGCACTAAAAAGATTACTGACGTAACAATAAACTTCAAACAGCAGCTTGTTTGTTTTAAAAAAACTGCCTGGAGCTCTGAATGGGTTCATGAACTTTGCAGTACCCCTGTAACTTGTTATGTTTATGACATGTTGTTGAACCAGAAAGTCAGCCAACTTTTAGTTTCTGCTTACGAGATGTTTTCCACTCTCTCCACTTTCCCACTGTTTCTCTTTCACTCTGATTTTCGCACATTTGGCTTCACATGCTTCAGTTTTTTTGTGGTTGGTAATTCCTCCACATCTGTCTAATGTTTTGCCTTTCGGAGTTTTTCCCAGACGTTAAGGGTTTTAAAAGTGAATATGGGTTAAGCCCACACTAGGGTCTTTCCCTTCCTCTGAGGAGATTACATCACCTCTTGCTTACGTTTCGCAAGATATAAAACATCCAACTCTTGCTGGTAAAAACAAAGCATGATTTGGCATTTTAGCATTTTTAACATGTGGATAAGCAATACATGGCAGAGGAGAGGGAAGGAAGATCAGATTGTTGATTGCTTCACAGACATGACTGAGCTGAAATCTCAATTTTATCATCAGTACAGTGCAAAGGATGGGAAAATAAGCAGGCTCTTACTTGTGAATATGAAAGAGGGTATTGTATTAGAAAATGCAGCTACAAGTAAACATGCTGAATGTGAACATGTATAATTTGTTCTCTCTCAGACCCTTTGAGTCATCTTTTGTGGACATTATTCATCTCAACATGTTTACTCTGCACTCACTCATCTTTCCACCCTTCTGACCATCACACCTCTCTATTTAGGTCAAAGGAAGACACCACCCACTGTGTACAACCCCCATACACAAGTCTGTTGTGATGGATGTGTATCAGGAAAGAAGCCTTGGATAGATCAAGTAATGTTTTCATTGTTCATTTTTTTTTCAACCCTGATCAACTAGATGAATTTTTCATTTCAGTGCAAGTCAGCAATGTCTGTGGCAAAATCAACCCCCTCTTTCCTTATAAAGCCAGAAGACCAAAGCACTGTTCCTTAAAAAAGAGAGAGAAAAATGTATTAAGGCCATACTAGTGAGATTTTGACTAAGTAAATGTTAGCACATACATTACAGT